AAGATTCATTAAAACTCATTCCAGTACCAGCAGAATGGGAACTAGACCTTCAGGAACTGATGAACCAGAAGTGACGTCACTTGGATGGAGTGAGAGCCAGGCCAGTGAGGACTCATCATACTTGGGACACTCTTTTAAAAACTATGGTTTCATATCGTCCAGTGAAATAACATCCCATATTCACAGTCTTAGAGAATACCTACCTAAAGGTATTACACTGAATTACTGATCCTAGGAGGAAGGGACAGAGTTTGACTGTTTCTTACACATAATGATGAGAAAAGAATCCTGGGACCACGCCTCCACTGAGGTAAATTAATCAAATTACTAAGAAATTAATATTTATAATGTTTTAGACTGTAATCCAGTGATCGTTAGTAACCGGTAACGTAATGTTCCATTAGGCCAATCCATTTCAATCATTGGTAGTTAAAAGGGGAGGAGTCACCACACCCTCAAGATGAAACTGTACCTATACATGTAACGTCAGATCTTATTGTATTTATTTATTATTGACTCTGCCCTTTTATAGCCACGTCCACACAAATGAAGTTGAGTAGCGTTAGTATCAGTTTAATAATGATGATATTCTTTGAGAAAAATATAAAACTGATAATTAGGCAAATAGTACAAAAGTAACATGTACATGTATCTTGTTTATATTCCCTCTTTCTTCCCTCTCTCTCTCTCTCTTTCTCCCTCTCTCTCTTTCTGTCTTTTTAGGGTGCTATCATACAAAATTCTATTAGATATTTAATCCAAAATTATTTTCAAAAACAATTAAGAGACACTGGTAATTTATTATACATTTTCTGGCAGAGCTAACGACTAAGAACAGCTGGTTGACCTCCATAGAACAAGATGCTCTTGAGTTTTCAAAAATGTTAGAGATATACTATTCTACCTACAGCTATGAGACTGCAAAGATGATTTATAATAGTTCCAGTGATCATTTGTACCATTCACCAATGACCAGCACAGGGAATGTACTGGACATGTACCTGGAGACATTTGGAGGAGTAAGGGAGAGAGAGGGAGAGGAAGAGAGAATTTATTACATATTCTGGTTCATATACATGTTGTTATTTTGTGTAGAAAGTTGCCAGTCAAATGATTTTTTTATAAGTATTTAAAGTTGCTCCAAAATTGGGTAAAAGTCCCTGTACTACAGGGACTTTGGCCAAGTTTTGCGAAAAATGAAAAGGAGAGAATGCTTCCATTTTAATAATGTTTTCTGATGCATGTACATATTTTATGTTGCGTAGAAGTTTGAGTTGATTCCTATCAAATTTGAATTTTTGCAAATTTTAAAGTTGCTCTGAAGTCCGTAAATCCTTCAAAACATAACAAAATACTAAGATTACTGAAACAGTGTAGATTGAAATGGGCTACATGTACTAGTATGTACAGTCAAACCTCTCTAAGACGGACACCTATGGGCCAGCCATCACTGTCCTTTATATGGAGGTGTCCTTAAATCGGAGGTCATCCCATGCTGATCAGACCAGAAAATCTACCATTTTTCTTGATGCGCATTAATTAGAAAGTCCATTGCGTGGGCTGTGTTTGTCCGTTTGAGTATCTATGGTTGGAGGTTAATTTGTACACGTGTAGATGTGTGGGGACTGTAAATGTCGTCCGTTATACAGAATAGAGAGGTTCCGCTATACAAAGGTTCTTTTATACACTACCCAATGGCCTTATGGCTGGGACAAGAGCAACTGTATGTTATAGAGAGGTGTCTGCTAATTGGGGGTTCATTTTAGAGAGGTTTGACTGTACATGTACTGTATAGTGGATAATTTTGGAGGGGGTTAAATTTGGCAAATTTGGCATTTTGATAGCCATTCGCCAAAATAAAAATCTGCAATTTTGAGCCATTATGCGCATGCTCAATGGCACGTGGCCACAAATTTGCCAAATTAAAAATCTACCAATCACCAAAATTTAGCAATTCGCCAAATTTTAGCCCCTCCAAAATTACCCACTATA